AAACTATTCCAAGGGCTTCAAGCTCTGTAGCTGGATATGGAGATATGTGAATGGTGAGAGTACGGCTGGCGTAGGCAATCACTTTAAGGTGATTCTTGTTGATGTTTCACGCCGGCGACGGTTGTTCCGGGACTGTCCGTTTCGATGACAAAAGTAACCTAGGCGAGGGGTTACTGAGAGCAGTGTTAAGGCTTCCTTTAACAATTCATTGCAGTTACGCATTCTGGAATCATATAAAAAGTGTATTTTTCCTAGCGCTGTTAAAGGTGAGGCATTTGAGGCAATATTATGCAAATGCGTGAAAGAATGAGCATAGCCCTAGAAATGCTTTGACTCTGTAGGATTTTTCGGAGTTGGATAGTTGTCAATGGCTTGGGCTTTCTCGGGTTTAGGTCGTATCCTTCTTTGCTTAGGACGAAACTACGGTTGTTCAATTTTTACCAATACTTCGTCGATGTCAACAAGATATTCTTCTGGAGTTTCAGAAGTTAATTCTTCTGGAGTTTCAGAAGTTACTATGAGGTCATCGACGTAGATAAAAACTCGTGCTTTCAGTTGTTTTTTTGAAATTATCCATTATTTAGAAAGTTGCTGGGGCTCCTTTTAGTGCCATTGACATTCATGTGTTCGAATGCTCCGAGAAAACATGCAAATGCTGTTCTCTCACAATGTGTTTTTTCTATAGGGATTTGGTGGAAACCTTGCAAATCAAGGGAGGAGTACAAGCAGTTGTTCGCACAGAGATCGATTATATCTTGGATGTTGGGGAGGATGGATTACTGAGTTTAGTTATAGCATTAAGTTCTGCAAAATGGTGATGCTAATTTACGCATTAGTCCATCTTTGGGCATATGGTGTGATCTATTTCGCTTCTTTTCTTGAGTGAACACGATAGATTTTTCCAGTTGGTATAGGCGCATTTTCTATTAGGATGCGATGTCAAATAGGTCCATTGTAATGACCCAAGTGACCAGCTGGTCCTACAAAGGCTTTCGAATGACTATTCATGATGTTTAAGTATTCTTTTTGGTAAGGAGAGAGAGCGGATTTGGTGAGATCTACCTCAGGTGCACATTATAGTTTGTGACGCTGGGAATTGGAAAATGCGAAATCTTTTCTTCCCAATTTGCTTCTGGAGGGATAAATTCATTTTGTAGAGGTGTATGGTCGTTCCGTACGGCAAGTATTTGTTCTAATGGAGATGATACAAGGGTGGCATGTGCTATTCTCATTTGAGCGTATGACTTGTTTGGTGTAAGAAGGGTTTAGTATGTTGATGAATGGGCAAACTAATGATCTTTCTACAACGTAGAAAAGATCTCTTTTGATGTCTTCAGAATAGAGTCGAGTGAACTGGTTGAAGCGTAGTTGTCAACAAAAGCGGTTACAATACTAAAAGATCTTTTGGGTAGTACTATGCTTTTTAGTAGACGTACATCGTAAATTTTATTTCGCTAGAGTTAATACTGTTCACTTGGATCATGATGTGTGCGCCATCACCGTGAATAGAGCACATCGTAGTGAGTAGAATGTTGCACAAATCACGTGAATAGAACACATCATAGTGAGTAGATTGTTGCACTAATCAATAGTAACTTTTAGGCCTAACTGGTATAGCTTTCAATGAAGTCGGCTCCAAGACAGGAGCAGGATATTAGTGATCATGCGAAACAAGAAATCGATGTGGAACAGTGTGTCCTATCTTGACGTCTAATTTCGGTGATGCTAGAAGTACTACTTGTTCCATTTACTGCTTGGGCTCTTACGTGATTATTATCGATGTTTACATTTGCTCTAAGACTTTTTGACGTGGATTGTCTCATATAAGATGTAGTTGCACCACTATCGATTAAAGCGGGGATAGATGTTTCACTTAGGGTCATTTTGATGAAAGGCAAAAGGTTTGTTACAGTATCTATTGGAATGATACAGAATAAATACGAGGTACCAAGAGGGATTCTTGTGGCGCAGTCGGATTGGGTTCTGT